CCAACAAATTTAAAATGTAATGTTATTTAACCATAATTGTACACCCATCACCATAACCCAATACAGTACAGTATATATAAAAAAAGTTCACTTATTTGTCTTATTTTCTTAAGACCTATTAAAGTACAGTATATACTGTGTGTATATATATACATACATACATACATACAAACACATACACACAGTACGTCAGAGGTTTGCAAAATCATATTTTTTTAGCTTCAGCACCAGAGGTGGAGCATATTACTTTATATATCCAAAAAGTGATACTGAACTAAGTTAAATATCACCCATATAACCAAATTGTAAAAATATGAGGTAAGTCACTCAACTTCTACACTCCCATGCCAAATGAAATGGAGCAAGTATTCTCTTTAGGAGATCTTCAAGCAGTCTGTATAGAGGAACTGAGCAAATAAAAATGATGTTATCACTTTACATTCATTATCAATACAGTATTGGCAGACTTATACAATATGCATAATGTATCACAAACCATTTGGATTCATAAAAATAAGTACATTTCCTTATGAGCCACTATTATCCAACTGATTTCAACCAGTTCAAAACACAAACCCCTTCATTACTCATAAAAATTATTACACTAAAATTGTAGAAAATAAAAACGGCTTAGAGTGTAGATGAAAATCTCCTTTCTGAACATCACTTAATTGCTTCCTTAAGCAATATCCTGTTCTTCCTAAGGGCAAGACCAGACACAGCCAGGTTAGATGGATATTTATTTCTAAGAGCAGCGGGGATCTTGCAAATATCCTGTTAGGCCATAATGGGAAAATGGAGATTCAGGTTCATTCATCTACACTCAAAACCCCATACAAGCTCTTTTCAGCCTCTAAGAGAGTGTCAAGTATCACTCTGCTAACTAAGTCCATCCTCTCAAGCCTTCCCAACATCAATAAACTGATGTACTAAATTGCCTGAATCTAATCTAACCAAGGACCCACGAATAAAAAATGGGACCACATTAATTTTGCAAGCCACTGTGATTTTAGTAAACGTTATTGGCCTTAGGGGATTTATACATCAAATTGCCATGTACTATTTGAAAGGACGAGTTGCAACTGCTAGCTGGTTCATCCGCCTGCTACACTGACCTCCACCAGATGTCACCATCTACACAACAGAATAACAAGGAGCTGCCCACCTTTCAGTTGGCTGACTAGAACCTCAAGAACACTGGGAAGTCAGAACAAAATGAGAGTGGGAGCATCTGAATGTCTTTTTCAGAAAAGTGTTTTTCAACTACAGTATACTCAAAACTTTATTTCTGAGCTTGACTTCTCAGTTGCTCCCTTAATCACTGTGCTGCAAAACGCGCCTTGAGGCTCTCGACGGGTGTGCGCAACACACCTCGGAGATCTTATAGGTACAGTATAGCGTAATATTCAAAACTGGCGCACGGTGACGCAGATACGAAATGGATGCATGAGGGCTCCAGTGATCATCTGCCATTTTGAAAAAAAAATCCCAGCATGCCCCAGGGCCGTGGGAAGCCTCAGTTTTAAGGAAGCAACCATATCTGAGGCATCATCTACAAGCTCCAGGTCCATGGTCAGCCGCTGTCGGGACCAAAACGACTCTCTAAGGAGGAAATACGTGACAATGTTCGATGATGGAGCGATGGGACTATAATCCAGAAAAAGACCTGACACAGAGGTCTGACATGAGTGAGGGGAAGGATGGGGTGGAGGAGGTCACGAGTTTGAACAGTACACGCGCCTCACCCGGCCTGCCTCGCCGCCCTGGGTCAACACCGTTAGTCACCATCACCATGTGTGTCCTCTGATGCCAGTTTATTCAGCGATAGTACATGTAATGAATCGTTCTCAGGCTTCAGTGACTTAGGGTTCAATACAAGCAGTGTTGACGAGTTGAATACGAGCAGCGATGATGTTACTAGGCAGACTTTTGCTGCCCCAGCAACATGCCAAGGCAAGTGACAGCACGTCACGCGGCCTGAAGACAAAGACGACAGTGTTTCCTCCATATCAGGTGTTCGTGGTAAGCCTACACTACGCAGAACACTCTCATCTCCTGTCATACCTATACGCAGCTCTAGCACGAGATGACGTCGCCTTGTTTTTGGTGCTCGTGGTGCTGTTGGCCGTGGTGTTGGTGCCAAAACCAAACCCACAGGAGTGTTTGTGTGGGGAGGATCGTGAGACTTTTGTCCCACAAATTACAACGTTTGATGGTACCAATGTTGGTGTGACACCATTATTTCCTTATATACGTGATGATATGGCTGAAATAGACTATTTTATGGTATATTTTGATCAAGAATTCATGGACCATCTTGTTACAGAGACTCATTGACTCCAGAATGCTCACAGCCTCATTTTTTTTTTTTGGGGGAGATATATACAAGAGTTGTTACATTCTTGTACAGCCACTAGTAGGCGTAGCATTTCGGGCAAGTCCCTGGAATACAATCCCCGCCGCGAAGAATCATTTTTACAACCAAGTACACATTTTACTGTTGAGTTAAACAGAGGCTACAGTTAAGGATTTGCTCCCAGTAAATCCTCCCCGGCCAGGATACGAACCCATGACAAAGCGCTCGCGGAACGCCAGGCGAGTGTCTAACCACTACACCACGGAGACTGGTAAACTCATTGACTCCGGAATTTTACCTGCCTCCTGCATGACACGATGGAAAGACACGTCAAATGGGGAAATGTGTTTTTAGCTTTGAGCATCATGATGAAGCATTCTAAAAAACACGTCATCCAGGATTATTGGAGCAAAGGCAGTCTTGTTCCATCCCCGTGTTCCACAGGTACATGTCACATGATAGGTTCCTGCTGCTTCTCAGGTGCCTGCACTTTGAGAACAGTGATAATGAGTACAGACAGGACAGACTTTGGAAGGTGTGGAAGATTTTCATTGACATGAGAGGAAAGATTTGTGACTATTTTGTACCAAGACATTATGTGGTGATTGATGAATCGCTAGTGCTCTTTAAGGGAAAACTGTCATTCAAGCAGTACATCCCATCAAAGTGGCACCAGTTTGGACTCAAGTTTTTCATCCTATATGACTGCAAAACTGGTATTTTCATGGACATGATACTGTATTCAGGTACAGACGTCAACATACCAGGTCAAGATCCACACGGGTTAGTGTACAGTGTGTAAATATGTTATAAATATACATATATGCACATGAAATATTGCAAATATGATCAATGTTTCTGGACACATTTGTGATACCTATAACAGGAATCTACGGGAATCTACTCCACGGGCGACCACCAAACTGTGACATCACACACCATTTTTTGGACCCCACTGCAGCCAAAGTAAGAACAATTTTGATTTTATTTCCACATATATGTGATCAGGGAATGGTATTTGACAATATAAGAAGGGCAAAAAAAACTTGCCAAAAAATTTATTTCCTGCATACCAGGGGTGTGCCATATTTAGAGCCAGAGCAGTACAGTGGTTAATCACTGCACTGCGCAATGTGCATGTAGGCGCTCGATGGTTGGTGCGCAACGTACCTCAGGGATCTTATAGGTATAGAGTATGATTCAAAACTAGGCTACATGGGGTTCACATCAGCTTCCTCAGAGCTCTTGTAAACAGACATCATTTACAAAAAAATTGTGGGCAACATTCCCGGGTGTGAGAGCCTTAGTACTGAGCGAGCAATCAAGGCTGGCACATGCAGCATGAGCTCACAGCACTGCTGTTCAGCTTGTGACCAAAGCAACGCCTAATAATATCAAAATATATATGTAACTGGTATTATTTAGCCAAGATAGTATTACAGAAGAGCTTGAGTGTGATAATGACTATGTACAAAGTTCAAATATCAGTGAATCATTGCTGTTCAAGATGTTCACAGCACTAGCCACAGCATTATTTCATCCATCAAGGAATCTTCAAACGACTTCTTATGTTCCTTTACAAAATAAACTTGTGGTCAATTATTCATTTACAGGATTTAGTGACCAGGATTGTGGTGATAATTAGTGTTGTGCATGGGCCAACCTAGCGCGTGGTGGCACGGCGATCGCACCTCAGTTTACCAGTGCCTCGCGCCCAGTGACTATCCCGCCTGAATTTTTCACAAGGATTTACAGGTTTTGTCAGATATTTGGCCATTTGAGCATTAAAGTTGTTATTATATATCTCGCAATGGGTCCCAAGAAAGCCAGTGGTAAGGTTCAAGGCAAGAAATGGCATGTGAGGATGACAATAGAGGAAAAACAAGAGATCATTCGGAAGCATGAAAATGCTACTTGTGTTGTTGAACTAGCTAGGCAGTACAACAAATCTTCAGGGAAGGAAGAGGAGGCAGTAGAGAATGTCCCTTCCTCATTAATTAAGAAAATGTGTGCAGTATGGGAATGACTGCAAAGTTTTGCTGAAAAGAATCACCCAGATAAAGCTGTAGTAGGCCATTGCATTGATCTTTTTAATGACAATGTGATGCCTCACTACAGACAAGTGTTGCAAAGAAGGGAAAAACAATCTTCAATGGAACGTTTTCTTGTGAGAAAAGTGAGAAAGTCAAGCAGTGAGCCACAACCAGGACCTAGTGGTATGCAGGCAAAATGTGCCAGAGAGTGCACTCCAGAAAAATCTTCACTGCCTGATGTTATATTAAAATGGAAGGGGACTCCCCTTCCAAACAGTAACACCTCTCCCCCCCCCCTCTCTTACCATCTTCCATATGCCAATAGGAGTCATCGGCAAGGGCAAGTAATAACTTGAACATACTTTTGTAGTGTAGATTTGGATGAATTAGGTATAAAATTTAGTTTGAAGCGAGGTTTTTGGGTAGTCAGGAACGGATTAATTAATTTTCCATTGCAGGCGATGAGTCACAATAACGTGGCTGAAGTATGTTGACCAGACCACACACTAGAAAGTAAAGGGACGAAGACGTTTCGGTCCGTCCTGGACCATTCTAAAGTCGATTGTAAACCGACTTGAGAATGGTCCAGGACGGACCGAAACGTTGTCGTCCCTTCACTTTCTAATGTGTGGTCTGGTCAACATCATTTCCCATTATTTCTTATGGGGAAATTAGCTTCGGTTTATGAGTTTTCGGGTTACGCGCTATCTCCAAGAACGGATTAAACTCTTAAACCAAGGTACCCCTGTACTGTATATGCAAAACAATTGTCATTCTCCCACAGAGAATAAGAGATTTCCTGCTAGAAGGAAAATGCAACAAAAACAGAATTTAAACACAGTAAGTTCCAGGTCTAATGCATCATTCTTGTCCCTTAACCAGAGCAACACATAATCCTGCCTAGTCTGACCAGGACTGAAAAAACCTGTGAACCACTAAAAAGTTAGTACCCTTCACAACCTCAACAAACCTAATACAATGCAGACATCACACTCAAAATGCCCCAAATCAAAAGGTATGTGCCAACAGACTTGGTCACCAAAACATTAAAAATGATCAAACAGAAACCAGGTTGCTTCCTAGGTCAATGTCTCAGACTGAATGATAACAAAATTCACTTAAATGAATAATAATAATGTCTCTTGTCTAGTGAAGTTAGTGTATGCAGGAAGAAAGAACCATCTCACAGTTAGCAGAGTGATACCTAAGATACTCACTGAGACTGAATAAAGCTTCGAAGGGTTTTGAGTGTAAATGAATGAACCTTCTGGAGGTTATCCTGGGCAGGATAGTGTAATGCTGAGTGTTTCTCCTTCCCCACTATGGCCTGGCAGGCACATTCACAAAAATTTCTGCTGCTCTGGTGAGTAAATGTCGACCTAACCTGGTTGTGTCTGGTCTCATCCTTGGGAAGAACAGGATATTGCCTGAGGGGAACTGATGTGGTCTAACCTAGAAAGCCTTCTGATCATGTAGATAATATTAAACTGGAAATGGAATATCATAAGTAAAGATGTATTCAAGGAAACTTTGGCACAGTTCAATGGGAAAATAAGAGGCAGCTTACAATTTCATCAAGACACTACAGAACAGTTGAGAGCAGTGATGTAACATCACACCACGTAAGATGAGCTGATCATGTATAGTCTAGCTGAGTATGAGCACGGCGTGTTGAGATTCGTGCTATATATTTCTATAAGATGCAGGCACAGTCATAAGGCAGGATGACTAATGACCAGCTCCACTGAATGAAAAAACATGAAAATGATAGGGGGTTGTAAAACTTACAATTACCGTAGTTAATAGCCTATTTACTGTACTTGTTAACTCAGGAGGGATTTGATTTCCATGAAATGAAGGTAGCAAGGTTAATGGAATTGGATGATATTGGGGTAGAATAATTGCCTATGACAAGTACACTGCTGGATGATTATGTTATAGAAAGTGAAAAGCCTAGTGGGCTTTTATTTCTATGTAATGTACATGGGCAAAACCCTAGATTGAAAGTGACTGAATAGATATCAATACACAAAATTAGAATGGATCAAACAGGATTAAATGTGACATACTTTTCTGAGTATATTTCTATATTTAAAAAATGATATATTATAAATGTCAAATATTGACTTGGACTGTATGACCAAGGCAAGAAGAAGTGGACGGGTTAATGAAAGATGCATGAAATACAACTGAATGAATGGGGACTAATGAGGGTTAGGTGTTGTAGGTTGAACTCCAACCCCCTTTCCACCTACCTGACCTTTATATATTAAATACTCCAAGTGAGCTAGAACTCGGAACATCGCTTGAGCACCTTCCCGATACTGGATGTGTCGTCGCAGTGTTGCAAAAGCAGTTTCTACATCACTTAAGGAAGGACCACTTTCTTCTTCCTCTTCCTTTTTATCATCACTGTTATCCTCGTCATCATCTTCATCATCATACCGCAAGTCATCATCTTTATCAGCTCCAGTGACAATTGCCAGAATATCATCATCATTATTAAGGTTACATATTTGCACATCATCATCAAAATGGATAAAATCATCAAAGGTCATATCAGGAATATGAAGACCTAATGTTCTTAAACGATGTAATAGTGTCAAGTTTTCAGCTCCCATAACTGTGTCTGGAGGTGGAGGTGGTGCTCCCCATGCTCCATATTTGCTAACACCTGCCCGTGTAAAACTAGCACTGATGATAGTGTCTGTAACACTATGCCATGCAGTTGCAAGCTGATGTAAACAAGTGAGCAAGCTCAACTTTGTATTGGGCCGCCGAGCACGTTTGTTATGTGTGGGGTCATTTCGCTGCAACTGGTTTATCAATGTTTCCAGTATGCCACTTCGATAGGTTTGCTTAAAGGTTGTTATAACACCATATCGCAATGGACCAAGAAATCCTTGAGGAGCAGTGACTAAACGAACAGAACGTAACCCTCCAGGAGGTTTGGAGTGTATAGGTAAGGATGATGCAATTACTACTACACGTCGCCCTTGTTGTACAAACCAAGAATCTACATCTTGAAGCCAAGCACCAAAACTATCACTTGTCATCCAAGCTTTCTGATTAGCTACATATTGCACCGGGAGACTCTTCACATGACGAAAGCTGGATGGCTTTGGATGTTTACCCACCACAAGTAATGGAAACTTTTCTGCTCCGGTCATATTACCACATAACAAAATTGTTAGTCGCAATCTACTGCGAACACCTCCTGAACATCTTTCACCACAGAGAGAAGGTGCAGTAGTTGGTAAAGTGCGATAAAGAATTCCTATTTCTTCAACAGCAAATATGTCACCAGGATCATATTCCAGTAACAACTGTTGTAATACAGATGTTTGCCACTCACCAGGTTTAAGTTCTGGAGTACTGTTATCCTCCTCTTCTCTCTTTCTCCTTGCTGGTGCTCTACCAAATACAATGTTTTTCCTTTTCTTGAAACGATCTAGCCATCCATGGGTAGCTTTGAAATCTGTGTGACCAAGTTTGCTGGCAAAAGCAAGGGCCTTCGTGCATAGGATGGGACCAGAGACAGGAACACCAGTTGCAATAGCTTGTCTGTACCAAGAGTAGAGAGCTGCTTCAATGTCCTCACGTTTGGGCCCTTTCAACCGCTTACTGTCAGGGTGAAACATTCCTTTCTTCCAACACTGTAAATAACAACTGGATTTTTTCATTATTGACTTGATTGTTGAACGGTTAACCATATATTCTTCTGCCATGTCAGACTGTTTTTCACCACTGTTGATTCTTTTGATTATTTCAATTTTGACCTCAAGAGATAGTCCATTTCTCCTTCGATTTACATTATTGGAATGTTCTGCACTATGGTCTTGCCAGGCTTCAGGAGAAGGCAAATTCACACCACACAAAACACATGGAAATATAAAGCCACCTCCAGCATCTGCAATAGGTGAAGGCAATTCTAACACATTCAAGTCCTTTTCATCATCTCGTTCAAGGTGATCCCCATCAACAGACCCATCTTTATTTCGATCACTATTCTTTCTTTTCTTTCCTGACACTGAACTTGATTTCTTCTTTCCCTTTATTATGTTTTCTGTAACAGCTGCAGGTGTTGGTAAAACAGGTTGCGGTACAGGTTCAAGAGGCGGAGGAGGCTGGTATTGTGGCTCAGGATGTGTAGTAATTGCAACAATAGGGGGATTATTGTACTGCATCTCAACCATAGAAACAAACTGCCCTCTTCCATAATGTGGAGTGCGGTCTGTGACAAACTGTATGGTAGGGACAGCATGTGCTGGTGGTGCAGGCTGGTGGTGGGCTATGGGTGGTGGTCTTGGCACTTGATCGTATGTGGGTCTGGGATGTGTGTCATGACGGGTGTATTGACATTGATAGTGATCAGGAGGAAACTGAGGGGGCAGAACAGGGGCACTGACAGAGAGGGGAGGTTGGTGAGTAGCTGCTAGAGATTCAGAGTAGCCCATAGTGGCTGCAGCAGCAGCTAGTCGTTCCAATTCTGTACATGTAGTGCGATGGAGATCCTCCATGTTGCCTGATTAGTTATTGTGTAGCATTTATGGCACTCTGTTGCATCAAACCTGCAAAAGGTAACTTTTATGTGTGATGGTACAAAAATATGGACATCATAGTTACAGCTACAGTATACTGTACAACTCATCCTTCTGTTTAGATAGTACTTTTTGTAACTACTGCATGTGGACCATCGTACATATATTGACATAATGGACAATTAGAAGAATTTTGTACTATTCACTTTATATAGTTCAGAAAAAATAATGTTAAAAACCAAACTTAAATATTCCTAGGCATAGTATAGTGTGTTTTAGGCCTAGGATGGTTAAGTTAGGTTAGATCAGTTTTATTAGTAATACAGGTATAAATACAAAACCTTTTCCAGTTCGTCTAAATTCGACAGTGCAGTATCAAATTATACTTTCTAAGTGTCCATTATGTCAATATATGTACAATGGTCCACATCATTTCTAAACATACTATCTAAACATGAGGATGGGCTGAAGCATGTGGAAATTTGTAAAAGTACTGTACTGTATAGTGTAACACATCAGAGGCTTAATACAGTTAGAAAATGAAAAGTGGTGGAAAGACCAGCTAAATGTATATGGAATGGGCAAGAAAAGAAAAACAAATGTAGAAATTGCATAGGTATAAGCCTAAGAATGCCACAGAAGGTGCATGAAAGAAATGCTGTATAATTTAGTTTAGGAAGCTGCCACTGGAGAATATGTTAGACAAGATGTTTAAGGTAGAGGATGTGTAGATAAGGTTTTTATGTAAACGTGACTAGGAAAATACTGTAGTGTAACCTTGACAGAACAAAACGTATGGGACAAGTCTGTTTTGGACCATTGTGGATTCTGTTTTACCAAGGTTTTCATTTTTTACTGTTTTGCCATTTTTTTTAACACAAATGATGCAACACATATTTCTGCATACAGTATTTACAAAACTAATCTATCTCTATAATTAGAATGTCTGTTTGTCCAAAGTAAGACAGATGCTTAGGGTTAGCTTCATCCAACTTTCCAAGATGACACATGGGGATATGGGAATGTCATAGGCCAATCAGGGTCAGCCGCAGTGTCATCCTTTAAAAAAAATATTGGCATCTATAGCAACCCCATGTGATTTTGGTGAAATTTGAAATCTCAGATTTGTTTTCTGTAGTGTTCTTAGCAGTTTTTCAGTGGTTTGTAATATTAAATTTTCTGAGAGAGAGAGAGAGAAAAAAGAGAGAGAGAGAAAGAGAGAGAAAGAGAGAGAGAGAGAGAGAGAGAGAGAGAGAGAGAGAGAGAGAGAGAGAGAGAGAGAGAGAGAGAGAGAGAGAGAGAGAGAGAGAGAGAGAGAGAGAGAGAGAGAGAGAGAGAGGAGAGAGAGAGAGAGAGAGAGAGAGAGAGAGAGAGAGAGAGAGAGAGAGAGAGAGAGAGAGAGAGAGAGAGAGGAGAGAGAGAGAGAGGAGAGAGAGAGAGAGAGAGAGAGAGAGAGAGAGAGAGAGAGAGAGAGAGAGAGAGAGAGAGAGAGAGAGAGAGAGAGAGAGAGAGTGAGAGTGAGAGTGTGTGTGGCATACAACTTGCATGCCCAACAGGTGGTGAAGAGATGACTGATATACTCTTCAAAATATTATAGTTTGCACTTTAATTATAAAATAAATAAATATTTGTTGTCTCCATTGCTCTTATTGTTAGTTGAAGTTGCACATCTGAATGATGGAATATGAATTATTCATACAGTACTGTACTGTATTTTCAAATTAAGTTTAAATACAGTATTAGTATAAATTAAAAAAAAATAAAAATAAAAATAGAATAAATTTGTGTGTGTAGTACAATAAATATACTCTACCTTCATTTACTCAGCTCCCAATAGAGTAGAGACAGAGTGTATATCGTCAAGGGGTATTTGGATGCTGTCAACTTGTTGGGGATCTCAGGTCAGCAGTATCATACCATGAAAGGATTTGTGCTCCCGGTCGCCATTTTCACAGCTGAAGAAAATTAAAGACAGATGTAGATACAGTACAATAATATATATTGATTTGCTATATCAATATTGCTATAGCACTAAATAAGTGACTATAATAATACTGTAATTAGTTTTGTTAGGGGACAGGAAGCCTGTGTGCATACATAGTGTACTTTAGGCTTCTATCAATATCCCCCTAAGGTCGAACTACTTACCCCAGGATGCAACCCCACAACAGTTGCTTAACTCCTAGGTACCTATTTACTGTTAGGTGAACAGAGGTATTAGGCAAAAAGAAACGTGGCCCCCCCCCATTTCTGTCCCACCAAGGAACTAGACCTTGGATCTCTGATTGTGAGTTGAGAACGAAGCCAACTGTGCTATGAGACCCCAATGTAACTACTGTATGTGCATTTATTAAATTATAATAATTAAATATGTATTTATAATAATAATAATAATAATAATAATAATAATAATAATAATAATGTTTATTCATGTAAAAGTACAAATATACAAGATGAGTTACAAACATACTGTTGAATTTCTAGATAGAGCTAGTATATACTATGCCTAAAGCCACTAATATGCATAGCATTTCGGGCAAGGTGTGGGAAAAAACACTTGACTAAAACTTAAAACTAATTGAGATCAAAAGCATAAATGTAATTGAAAAGGGGAAAAAAAAAAAAATTATAATAATTACGTGATGGATAGAACTTAGTACAGTACTGTAATTGAAGAGCACATAAATTACTAAATACCTGGTTTATTGACATTATGGCTATACTGTACAGTACATTATTAGTATAAAGTATGTATTTTAATGACAGGGCTTTATATTAGAGCTATAACTTACCAAACTAAAAAAATTATCTAAGAAGTATCAAAGGATTGAAAGTTCATGGTTAAACATATTACAAAACAATTTTACCCATGTTCATTTATTTACCAAATATAGTTTTTGTGTTACCACAATTTATGTGAAAAATTAGAGATATGAATCAAGTAATACATGATAAAGTAATTCAGTAACATGTAAAATTACTTCAAACCATTTCAGGTTTCATGAAATTTGCCATACAACAGAAATCATTTAACAATCAGCATGAACAGTAGTTTGAAATCGATCCACAACTGTCATGTAGAAAGGACTGCTGCTCTGTTTTCCTGGACAGATTTTATCTTCAGTTTTAAAAGAACCACCTGTGGAGCTTTTCCTTGATCCATACATTATTTTCCTTTTATTTAGGTTGTGTACATTTAGTAGTAGGGTCATTTACATTAGTAAATTGGTCATTTCATTAGTAGGGTACATTTAGTTTAGTAGGGTCTAATTCTATATTTTATATCCTTCCAACACCCCTTGCTCTTACATGTTTGTCTAGTTTATCAACAAATACCTAATTTCCATCAAACAATCACTTACTTTGTTGTGTCTATGCTTTCTGGTAGGTTTTTCCCCAGTTTGGCTCAATATCTGATCCTAAAGCTTCCCGCACCTCATAGAGTAAGCCACACTCTGATCTAGCCTTCCAGGAGATGACAGATGGGTCTTAAGGGAGTATAATTCATGGAATTTCTGAGCAGTTCCTCCCTGATAAATTACAGTAATTAATGATCAGTATTTAACGAAACAAAAAAAAAAGCTTTGAATGCAATGAAATGTCATTTTCTGGGTGAGCTCAGGAGGCTCCCTGGAGCTATTGGGCTAATATGCAATATATTAGTCTAGAGCATTAGTCAATGGAGTTCAGCCTACAGGGGACCACTTGCCAGAACCTGGCCCCCTTAGAGAGGCACAGGGAGCAATGGTCTATGGAAAATCTCCCTGTGATTGGGGGTATTCCTCATCAGCCATTTACGGGAAGGGGAATTTATTGTAGTTAATTTGTATGTATCCAGGAACTGCTTCGATGCTCACTATCTACCTGACTGCATTTATACTAATCCTTCACTGGTCATTGGGGACCTTAATGCTCGGCACACAAACCTTGGGACAATGGGTAGTATTAATGCTAATGGGGTCAAGTGGTTACAGTTTCTACAAGATCATCCAGATACCTGTCTCTTGGGAAACAATGAACCAACTCACATCAGGGGAGGACGGCTTGACTATGCCTGCATGTTAAAACTCTCAGGGGATTATGAGGGAGGCTCAGGTTGTTCGGGAACTACTTAGTGACCACCTTGCCTTGAACATTGAATTACCACTGGGGAAAAAATAAGTCCACTTTCAAAGGAAAAGGTTAAATATTAATAAAGATATGAAACATTATTTTATTCAAAATATGGGAGATTGGTATCAACAATACACGCCGCTCTGCATTAATAGTTTTTACGAGGACATGGTCGAGAACATAGAGAAATTAGTACAGAGGAAAAATAACGGGGGCAGGGGTAGCAAGATGCATGGACCTAAGAAATTTAAATATTCCAATGATCAGCAAGTTAAGGGGTGGGAGAGAATGCTATGGAGTGCACATAAAGAATGGTTAAAAAATGAAAGGGATGAAGAGAAAAATACAATGTTGGAAGTAGCTAGGGAATGCAGTCAGGTGAGGAGGAGGCGCAGTACAGATACTGGCAAGACTTTGCTCAGTCCATTGGTAATACTAAGAACCTTAAAGACATATGGAGAGCAGTAAACAAAATCAGGGGTTGTAAGACCAAATTCATTGCTCACTCAGATCCAGGGAAGGTTGCTAATGAGTTAGTAGATAAATGGGCTAGTGCTGCTGGTATGGAGTCCTTACCTGCAGACACGAGAGTCACCATTGAGTCATGGGAAAATATTAGAAATGGAGTAACTTTATGTGCTTTAAATACAAAATCTGTAACATGCACTGAGATAACTCACGATGAGCTACTGGATGCTATAAAAAGTGACAGCTCTACTGCTCCGGGGAAAGATGGAGTAACGTATGACATTCTTAATTATTTAGCCGGTATGAAACCTAGTCTCTTACTTGATTTGTTTAACATGAGTTATAGGGAGGGAAAGTTACCAAGAAAATGGAAGGAGGCTGTCATCATTCCTATCCCTAAGTCAAACGGAGGCTACAGGCCTGTCTCCTTAACATCCTGCTTTTGTAAAATGATGGAAAGGATTTTGTTCAATAGGCTACTCTACTTTGTAGGTGATAACATGTCCAGTAATCTCTTTGGTTTTATCAAGAGCAAAAGTACTGCGGACTGTCTCTTAAAGTGTTTGTCTAATGTGGATGACAATTGTAGAGTTTTTGTTGATCTGCAAGGAGCATTTGATAAAGCCAATGGGGAAGTAATCTTATACGAATTAGCCAATCTGGGAATAACAGGGAGAGTGCTACATTGGATAGGGGATTATCTACAAGGGAGAAAAGGTCAGGTGTATTACCAGGGATACATGTCTGAGGAACGGATGATTCAGTTAGGTACCCCACAAGGGGGAGTATTAAGTCCCACCTTATTCAATGTATTAATGAACAGATTAGCAGCAGAGATGTATCCTCCAGGGGTCACGACGATCATATATACTGATGACATTCTTATACAAGACACTTCTGGGAACAAAATTCAAACTGCTCTTAATACTTGGTACAACCTGTCACAAGTTAGGCTTAGTTATAAATGCAGACAAAACCAAATATGAGTATAGGAAACGAAGAAATATAACACTTACTCTAAATGGTGTGGAACTGAGCCGTGTTCAGCAGTACAAGTATCTGGGCATGTATGTTGGATACACATGTGAGAGTAAAAATGCTTAAATAAATCATATCAGCACCTTATGTAAAGCCCGTCTGCATCCTCTAAAAGCACTGGCTTTTTCTGGTAAAGCTGTTGAGGTACCTATCTTGTGGATGTTATACATAAGCACTGTTCGGTCCCTGATAGACTACGCAGCACCCGTTTTGTCTTACACAGGCCAAGGCAGAATTAAAAAAATAGAGCTGATACAGAACGAGGCTATGAGGATTATTCTTGGATGTCAAAGAAATGCAATGATTGAAATAATGAGAATGGAATTAAATTTACAGTGTGTATGATAGAGTCCGTGACATTAACACTAGAGTATCTATTCGTTTCATGCAGAGAACGCTGTTTCAGAGCGTTCAGACCTGCTTGAGTGACGTACACACTTCCAGGAAACTGAGAGACATGCTACATGAGGGGATTAGCTCATGACCTCAGGGAATACGATGTACTTGACTGCTGCAAACCTTCTCGACAGTGTAATAGGTTTGCTCCCTGGAAAGTACAGAAAATAGACGTCGAAATTGTACCCCTCAAGGTGAAAAAAGATTCATCATGAATCAGGACAATTACGGTGTTTGTATGGAAGCATGATATCTCGGTTACCAAGAGGCAACAGTTTACATGTATATTGTGACGGGTCGGTGGCGGAGGATGGCAGGGCAGGGTGTGGTGTCCTAATAAGGGAATATATTGAGTTTGTTCAATTATCCTATGGACAGGATAATTGAACTCCGACTTAGTAATTATATATCATCCACACAAGCTGAACTGCAGGCCATTCTGGCGTGTTTGGAAAAGGTCATAGTGTGAAATTCATGTGGATTCCATCTCATGTTGGAATAGTGTTCAACGAGGTGGCGGATGACTTGGCCAAATGTGCCACATCAAAACCACAAGTTGACATTGAATGTGAATTCACAATGAGACAAATAAGAAACAAAATCAGAAATATTCAGGCACAGGCAGAAGTGGAGAGGAGAGGTATAATGTATGAGAGAAGTCAAATCATGCAACACTACATGTATGTGAGTCAAAACACCCATTTCACTTATGGTAAAAGGAGAAATGCTTGGAGTGACTCTGTGTACATGCGGCTCAGGCTTGGGTACAAATATTACTGGGAATATGGGATAGATGTTCATGATAATGACACGGTGTAAACTATGTGGTATGTTAAGGTCTCACACCCTTGTCCATTATGTTCTTGATTGTCCATTGATTAATGTATATAGAAACACTGAGATAAGGACTATTCCTGAACAAATAGCCTGGATGTGTCAC